GTATTTATGCTGGTTATGTAGTTATGTGGATAAGTAAATGACAAAACGGAAAAACTTGTTAGTGACGCGTTTCATTCCGAGAAACTTCTTCAAACTAAGAAGAGCTTTATCTCAAAACGTGTTTTTCCATTTTGTCATTCGTTTACCCACTATTAGTGTGACGGGCTGAGTTCAATTTCCGGCTTAGTCTGTTGTGTTATATTTTGCACTAATAACCTTGAAATAATAATCAACTTCTACGGATTATTTAATGCCTAACTCTAAATATTTTGTACTCAATTATTATGACTTCAACTACAGATATTTTTTACTTTCAAGGTAAACGTGTGTTTTAAAGGTATATAGTTTGTACATGATCTATTGTCAGTTAGTTATGTGCCATGCGTGATAAACGTGACTGACGAGGCAGTTTTTTTTTTCCCGCAGTAGGTTGCCATTTCTTTCTGCGGCAGACCAGTTGACATCCAAGGCTATAGAACTCGGTCTGTCTTGCTATTTACCAATAGCTGGGGGAGAAGAAGAGGATGCATACCTTTGAATACCTATTTTTAAAAATATTAGCACGTAAGTGAATGTATTGGATTCGACAGGAATTCGAACTCAGCACCCTGATTTCTCAATCCGAGCCACTATTCATTACTCCTCCGTACCTCCGATCTATTGCAATTGTCATATTTTTGTTATAAACCTATCTCTTTAAGGTAGGCCATTATATTGACGGTTTCAGTATTTTCAAATAGTTTTCCCATGTTGTTTTCTTTGTAGCATTTGTGTGTTATAGGAGCTACATTCAGTTAAAATGGGTTTAATTGAGTGCAGCTTGGTATGTAGTACACGTTGGTTGATCTCTATTCTTAAGGATATGGCATTTTAAAATACATATGTATAGATGTGTACAAATATACGCAGGGAAACTCATATATATCATATCTTCCATTCAATTCTATAATCAAATTTCCTGAAGGGTGGATGTCAGTTTCGTGAAATTTAGAGTACAGACAGGATAAGTGAATATTTAATTTTATTTATCAGTATTAATGCACTTTGATATCACGCACTCTAATTACAAAGACTGCTTGCCTTAAAAACGTTATCTGCCAGAAATGCCCTGGACGATCATTTTTCATCTATCTATGTATGTAATGCATGTATGTATGTATATTTTCCAATTTCATTTGCATTTTTAAAAATACTTTTATGCAGTTTGGACGTTATTAGTCTGAAAAATTTCTGGAAATACAACGCGTCGTTAAATTTTTTTTCATTTTCTGTGTTACTACATACAGGCATATAAGTGTACCTACTTTCATACATACATGCATGCATACATACGTAAATGGCTGGCTACTCTCGTTTGCCAAGCACACCTATCTGGTAGGACGGCTAGCCAATCCCTGTCACAGACACTTACATTACGTACCCATCTGTGGTTTATACTGCAACTTTGATGCGCTGAGCATAGTCACAGTTTCATGTTTGAACAACGTCAGTCCGCTCAAATCGCCGGCTTTCGAATGGTTCTGTCTACCCAGTTTTGCTAGGGAAAACTTGTGGTATAGTTTTCAGGTATTAGGTTGGTGCAAAAATAATGTCGTTTTTGACGTTAAGTTGAACGTCAAAAAACGACATTATTTTTGCACCAAACTAATACTTTCCAGACAAATATGAAAAAGTCACCTTCCTAATAAATCAACCAAGGTGAGATTCATGGTCGGAAAGTGAACGTTCTCACGACTTTGTCACGCGCTTATAATTCGTACATACATACACAGCTAGTCTGATCAGTTCGATAAGGTCATATCGGCGACTGACCTAAAAAAAAAATGACGCACAAATGGGTAAAAAAATGGATTTTTAATTTCAACGCTTCCAAAACAAAACAGCTCTCTATTAATCATCTGAAAAAACACTTCTTGCCTCCCATCAGCATGGCTGATGCTAACCCCCAGTGACTCGTTACCTCTTCTTGGACTAACATTCTGGGCTGACATGAAGTGGAAAGACTATATTGAATCCATTGCTAGGTCAGCTGCTAAGAAAGTTTGTTCACTGTGACGGGTTGGACAATTTTTCTCTCTATAATCTATCTTGCATATCTATAAATCTACCATTCGTCAATGCTTCAAATACTGCTGTTACATATGGTCCGGTGCTCCTGCTATATATTTAGAGATTTTTGATAAAATCCAAAGAAGAAACAGCAATATTATTGGTCCTGATCTCGTGTCTCGGCTTCAGTCACTTTCCCACCGCCATAAATTTGCTTCCCTGTGCCTATTTACTATAAATACTTTAATGGTAATTGTTCGATTGAGCTCTCTGCTATGATACCTAGACTTCATGAATTTAAGCGCAGTACTAGAATGGCGGCAAGGTATCGTCATTTTACAATTGAATTGGCTAGATGTAACCATAAGTTCTATGCTAACAATCTTTTTCTCACACATCTCGCTTGCGGACGTCTATTCCGGCTCCATGCTTTCCAGCCAACTTTGAACTTCAAAATTTAAATACGATATCAATAGTCATCTGCTGTTTTCCTGATTAAACTCTTATTGTCCTCGCTCCTTAGTAATGTTTCTGTTTTGTAATTCTTCTACACCCAGTAATCCCTTGTGTCTTAGTGGCTTTACTACCTTGAATGGGGTGAATTCGATTAAAAAAAATGCATTTATACATACAGTCATTCTTCTTCTTCTTTGTGTGCCATGTCCTCTCATGATCACGGCTCTCCACAACTTCCTTTACTTTGTAGTTCTTAATAAATTTTGTCTTTTTGCTATTTCTCCTAAACCCTGTTCCGTCAAGCATTTACTCAAGCTCGTCAAGTACATTATACGCTGTATTCTTGTCTCTCTAGCCCTCAATCTGTCCTGTGAGTATCAGATTTTCCAAGCCTCCTTCCTAATTACGTACCCCAGAAATTTCAACTCCCTTTTCCTGATGTTAAGTATAAGTTTCCTTTTAGTTTCCACTTTCTCTAAAGCCTCGTCGCTACTCACATGTTTGGTGCATGGTATTCTCAGTATCCTTCTGTAGAACGACTTTTTTGGTGATTCAAGTCCCTTTTTCATCTTTGAGGAAATTGTTCAGTCATTACGTACGTAAAAACCAGAAGTGTATAAAACAATCATATATTAAAAAAAATATTCCAGAAACACTGTAAAATATAATTTATATATAATAAGAATTAACGTTGTTATTATTATTATTATTATTATTATTATTATTATTATATATAATAAGAATTTACGTGTATTATTTAGGTAGCTTAACAGTAGCTTAATTGAAAAGCTGAGTTCAATTTCCACCTTACTCTGTCACTTTCCCTTTTGCCATAATACTATTGTAAAGTTATTATAAAACAATATAAAAAAGAAAACAATTTAAACATGATTTTTACAAAGCTAATAATATAAAAATAACAAACTTTAAATTAGGGACCTCCACAAAAAAAAAAAAAAAAAAAAAAAAAAAACGTGATACCTAAGGTTTAAAATGAATTTTTAAAAACGAAAAATCTTTCTGAAAATTTTTATTTTAGATTTGATTTCAAGATAATAGATTTAATTTAATATTTCCAATAATCAAAATACTTTGATGCATTTCAAAAACTAATTTAAATTGACTGGAGGGAGTTTTTTTTTTTTTGTTGTTTTTTGGGTTTTTTGCTAAATAGTTAATTAGCGCCCCTTTTTTAGTCGCCTTTCATCACAATGTAATTCTCTTTATTAAAAATCTTCCAAAAATAAAATATACTTTACTGAAACTTTATTTGAGAAATATTAGCTGATGTAAAGTATAAAACAAATGTTATTTATTTTATGTTTAAAATATTGCAGAAATGCATTTTTAACCCGACAGTAGCTGTGTTTTTAAGCCGATAGTTTTGACGTTTTGACAGCCTGATGAAAGGGTTCATTTTGTACTACGGAGATTTTATCTATAAAATATAATTGAAATACATGACATGAGCGCCTTTTTTTATATAGTTTTTAAGTAATCAGTAGGGAAAATATTCTCCGTAATCTAATGTTTTATTGAATTTTAGAAATAATTTTGAATTTATTATAGTTATCGCTCTTGTTTTCATACTTAAAAAATCGGTACATTTATATACAAAAAATCGAAATTCTTTTAAAAATATTTGTGTATGATGATTTGTATTAAACTTTTCCATTTAGATGTAGTTTTCACTTAATATCATCTAATAGATTGAAATTAATACAGAATTTTAAAAGATTTAAAACTTAATATTTTTTTCTAATTAATTTTTTTTTAAATTAAAACATTATTTTTTTCTTGACAAACTAATGTCTTTAATATATCTTATCCATAATGCTTTAATGTCTAAGTGCTTTGCTAATTAAATATTATCATAGTTTTATTGCATTTTTATTTTACGATTCAGAGAATCTTTTAATCCATTACTCATCTGACGCAAGAAAAACAAGATTTTTAACCAAAATTTCGAACGTGCGAGAAAGGATTTAAAAAATGCTAAAATATTCACGAAATACTTTTGTCTTTCCCTTTAGTAATACCATAATATTTTGTCGATAAATCTTTGTTTTTATCATGTTTAGG